AGGCTCGGAGCATAGCAACAAACCACCACTATCGAGCTGCTATCAGAATGCGGGCCTGCTCTCATGCGGACAACAACCAAGCGGTTGGAAATATATTTGTACGATCCCATATTTGTCACAAATTGCTTGCTTACAAGAACTGCAACTCCTGGGCAATGAGACGGGCCATCAGAGCTGTACAGAGTATTACAATGCTCCAGAACTTCAACTCTACAGCCGCTTATGCACATCTCCGTCACACTAAGCATGTCAAGTTTGTAGTCTTCAAGGTCGAGAATAATTGATGTTTTCTTGCTATTGCTTCGCAGCAAACGCACTTTGAATGTCGCTAGCCTGCATACCGGTCCTCGTCGTCAAAGGACTCTTTCCTGTGTCATTCATTAATTCACCCCCGAAACAGTTGCCTGGTTTTAGTTAGAACTCTCGAAGGGGACACAACAACAGCTGACAGGAGTTCAGCCTGGCATACCAAATCTATATAGATACAAACCGCACAAAGCATTAATCTTTTTTTGGCCATTATCCGAAAAGTGATCAAATGGATTTAGCGGGGTTTTGCCTTCCATCTCATTATTTGCATGTATCTACTGGCTGTACATATGTAACGGGACGAGTGTACAGTGGATTGACATTGTGGGCCATCACCAGTGTGTGACCTACCACACATGACTGCGGTCGATGGCGGCAAGCACCCTTTAATAGTATGACATGTCCGAGATGATCTGTTTCTGTGCACACTCGGTCATTGAGTAAAACAAAATTCTAACCGTTGAGGATTCTCCCAACACCAATTTAAACTAGCCAGAGGGTGTATTGCAATATACGTGAAGGGAAAATTTAACAACCACTTACCGGAGTTGAGGCAGAATTCCTTGATGTTCGCCGCCAATCCATGCCCAACCGCATTCTGAACGGCCATATGCATGTCTCTGCCGCTCGGTATGTGGTATTTCTCGATCCATAGCTTTGTCATTGCGTCGAACAAGCTAAATGGGCTCGTCTCCGGATGGGCTCTATCAGTGATCGCCTGTGGGTATAACGAATTCACAACACAAACACTTCATGTTACCCAGCACATTCCAGACAAAACAGATTCAAATAACATTGACATTAGCAAACCATACACATCATGTATGTGAGTATATCATGTGTGGATGGAGCTGGAATGAGGGCTTCTCAATCCAACAAATACCTGCTATTACCCAGAAGCGGGTGTTTTGTGACGACAACCTAGCGTTCTCACCAGGCCACTCAGCACGTAAACGTGCAGTAATAAAATATATCGGTGACAAATTTCTGTCCAGTTATCCTGCATAATTCTTCTCACAAGGCATCATCCTGGTTTATCTAATGAATGGCATACCCAAGCATTCTGGAGTACATCGCGCAGGTGACGTCTGGAGTTTGCAACGGAAAAAGTACGTCCGCCGTTGTTTGGACGCAGAGGTTGCTAACTGCCCACGGTCAGTTTCTGGAAGGTACTAGCAGAGGTGAAAGAAAGTGATTAATTTTTAAAGTACCGGGAGGACTTCAAGTTCAATTGATCAGTCGGGGCAGTGAACTGCCTGATAGTGTTTGCCAACAGTCTTTAACAATTAAGGGAGATGAGTCATCTCCCACCACTGCAGCTGTGCCGTGTTCCTAGTGGGTGGTGGCGTTCCTGCGGATGCGGAAAACTCGCCTCCAGCCGAGTCTCACACGAACCGTGATTTTTTCACCTCTGGTAGTATGTTCCAAAAACTGACCGTGGTTGGTCCCCCGGGTGAGGGAAAAGACCCAAGTGCCATCAGTACGGAGGATTAGCAAGACGAAATTCGCGTTCGCGTTCGCAAACATTTTTCAGGTCGCGAACTGGATTGCGAACTTTCGCATTTTTCGTTCGGAAAAGTAGTCGGAACACGAATCGTGGATTCGTGTCAGGGCAGTCATAAATTTACCACGCTGTACTGCCTACGTCGTGTCAACATCATGCATGTGCGAATTCTGTTTGCTAATCCTTCTCATAACGCGAATTCCGTCACTGAGTTCGACTTTCTTTGGAGAGCGAACGCGAACGCGAATTTCGTCTTGCTAATCCTCCGTAGTATGGGTGGCACATGTGAGCTGCCTTGGAGTGAAAAGCTTTTCAGCGCCTTCTAGGTTTGACCTGATCCCATAGCTCACATGGTTAGAGCATTGCTCATGACAAGCAAGGTCCCGGGTTTGAGTCCTGGTGGGTCTGGCATTTTTTCTCTCTTTTCAGGCAGTTCACTTCCCCGACTGATCCTCTGTTTTTACTTTTATTAATTTTTATTTTATCGGAGTAAGTCAGACTACAGTAAGAGTGCTGGTGTGTTTCCAATGGATCAAATCCCCTTTTCCACAAACACTCCGACTTATCAATAGACAAACTCCGAGTACAGCATTGTGGTCTTCAACAATTTTATGAATAATACCGAGGCTTTTTGTAAGGTGTCATGGATTAAAATGATCGACTCAGAGAGTTCGTCTTTATTGATAAGTCTGAGAAATACTATTTTATTAGTACAGTGAAATAGGCAAAAAGAGAACACACCGCTTTTGGACTGTCCGGGAATTCCTTCTCCAGAAGGTAGGATCCAACATCATGCACACGTTGGGAGGATTCGGCCACGATGTCCCGGATGCGTTTTAGCCTCTCCATTCGATCAATGTTGCTGATGGTGCGGAAGTTCACCCACTCTGGCAGTGCTGTAGAGACAATATAATAGCATAAGCAAACAGGTACAATCATCACACTCATCCAATAACACATCCACCTCTCTCACACACAGGCATTCACTCCAGTGCACATCCATGTGTATGCATGCAGACACATGCGGGTGGGCAGTTTGTTATGAAATGATGTGTTGTTTTCCGGTGTGATGGCATTCCCCAAACTGTCTCGTCTAGTCGCGTGCATGTGTGGTATGAGCATGCGCGATTTTGTAGTCGACAGTCCTTTTGTCAGTCTTCCTGTTCGTCCCTTTCAGTGTAGTCTTGAATTTCCGTCATGTCAAGTATAATATTATAAAGTAAACCAAACTAGTCTTGTCCTTTGTATCCTGCGTCCCGGGGAACGGAATGGCCGAGATTCCGTAACAAGTTCCACAACCACACACAACCACACTTATTTGGCAAACAATGCCTGAGCAATGCCCCACCTGATGACGCCAGATTTTCTTCGTTGTGATACACGTACAGAGCAAAGTGAATTGTCATTTTTGTGATACGCTGTATCTACACTATTTCGTCTTACACAGTTATGTGTGTCATTATCATGTGTGTAAACCAGTATGGATCATCTTCTACACTTACCGGAGGACGAACCAAGTGCTGGCTCATGATCTGCCGACATTGGCTTCGTCGGATGGTCAGTTCCCCCACTGGCAGTTGCATCGCGTCGCTTTGCGCTAGTATTGGCGACATGTTTAGCAACATCGGGTTGGCTGTGTTGAATCAGCTTCAGGAACGTATCCACCTGTTCCTCCGTTTTCGTTAACATCAACCTCACCACATACTCTGCCAGCTTCAACTTGTCCTCCTTGGCAGGTGCGCCAATATATTCCTGTTCGTCCAGAACATCACTCTCCAGTAGATCTTCCAAGATTGTGGACGCATCCAAATTTGCAAATAAGTACTTGATGTTGTATTTCACACTGTCCGGCATTGTGCCATGCAGACGCGGAGCACAAAGCCTGCCCACAGCTTGAACCAATCACTCTTGTCTTCCTCTTCCAGAACTGCTTGCCACGACCTCGAAGCTTACGAAATAATGTCCCAACTATTAGTTGATCACCTGGCCACCAGAGATTCCCGGAACCCAGACCGTCCCTATCGATCGAATGGCTCGCTACGCAGACCGAAAAAGTCTGAGCAAGAGCAACCCGTAAAATCACCATGATCAGCACTGCACTGCACACTCTTTGACTTTGGAACGACGTGTAGCATAAAAGTAATAGTTAGTTTCGTGGCGGCAGATCATTACATGTAGATCTACATAATTGTAGATCTACACATGTAGAGGAGACGGCTCGATACCGGGACGTTTTGACAGCCAAATTTGTATAGACCCAAACCGATTATCAACGTTGATTTTTCACTCGAAATATGTTTGTGGAAGGAAACTGGCATGTTGAAGTTTGCTCTGGGCCAGAGTCAATCGAACTGAGCCACTCCTTTGTGTTGACCCATTGCCTCCAAGTTGCCCAATTTTTCGCTTCAAAAAAGTTCAAATCAGAGGTGGCTCCAAACCGGACACGTTTTAGAGTGCACGTCAAATTCACTCTGGGTCTGAAATTAGGTAATTGCTATCGCTCCACGACGGCCAGTACAGAGTAACAATAAGCCTTGTGTGTGCTTCCATTAGTTTTGATTGGTATGCGGTGCTTTATTGGCGAGAGGCGAGCCGCTGTTTACCTGCGACAAGAAGTTGATTTTTCGAAAGACGTAAAACTCAAGTCGCAGTGCGAAGCAACACGTCAAAAACTCGCCTGCTTGATATGGCGCTTCTGGTCATCGCAGAGCCATGAAATTTTGGCTCGGAGTATAACACATAGTAGTCTCACTGTGACATGTGTTTTCTAATCAAAATACCAAGAGAGAAAGTGAATATTGAGTCCGTTCCGGTTTGCAACCGGTGTCCTATTTGAAACCGTCCCCTCTACATGAAGATGGCTTTGAAAAGTTTGATACCGGCTAGCTCACTGCGGTCCGCATGGTCTTTGCGGATGGATCTGTCATCGGCATCCGTGCGAGTGCCGGGTAGGTAGATCTACACCGATCCGGGGCCGTAGTCTACACGGACGCCGTGAATTTTTAGTGCAGTGGACCTACTACCATGACTACTACTACTATCCTGTGACTTGTGAGTACGGCCCCGGCAGGGTCGGGTCGGAGGTCGAGCGCAAGCTTGACAGTTGACTTCGTATATCTACGGCCCTGGCATGGACTGCACTGGTGCTGCATGCGCTGATCCGGTGATCGATTCTGTACTACCGCCGAGCCGCTTCATGGACATGGTGCATGCCATGCCACTGCCATTGCATACTGCCCTTGGCTTTAGTGTTGGACTGGTGAGGAAGAGAGGGGATGCTCTCGCATTAGGAGTTGAACAAACGAACTACATGTACTAGTAGTAGTAACTGTTACTTTTAATCTTTGCACCTGTTCATTTTCCTGGTGCAGTGGTGGACTGGGAGTCGTGTCGGTGAAAATCCTGTACTGGACTGAACCGTAACCAACCGCCTGACATGCAGTGGGCAGGGTATGCAATGGCAGATACCAATAATTGCTGTATCTTTTCAAACGAATCCTGATGACAATAATGAGTGATATTAAATTTTGTGGATACTCGACATCATTCCAGTGCAGTAATACTCAGCAGAGATCTGTATGCAGAACGGCACACTGCGGCACTGGTTGCTTAGCTTAGTCAGCGGCTGGAACTGGAGACCGTCGATGAGTGAAAGTCCGCGATCCAAACTCTGGGAGAGTTTAGTGCATTCCCAGCGTGCTGTGAGCTGCATCAGGGTGGATGGCGCGCGACTCACTGCACACTACCCGTGACAGGGACAACGAACACGATCGACTCTGATGTAGGCTACTATTCCGACTCCGGTAGGTCTCCAGGCGCGAGGCGTACTTAGATCATGAAGGCCAGCGTGACTGACGAGAGAATCACCAAAACCTTTCGACCAAACGGTCAACAAATGAATGAAGTGCAATAATGGGATGGAAGCAAGGAGGTGAAGGCGGAAGACCAGACCGTTTGCTGGACAGCTAGAAGACGTGTTATGACCAATGCCGTAATACAGCCGAGTAGTACACTGTCAGTGGCCAGGTGAGATTCGTAGAACAGTTTAGATCAAGACCTTTTAAAAATTATGACGTTAGAAGTCTACAAATAACTACGACTTCTGGGTCAATTAATTATTTGGATCCATTGGGATTAAAGTGGGACTAAAGCCTTTTCGAACATGGTTGAACAAGCGGTCACGTGCTCCTGCGTACACCAGTCACCTGGTCATCGTGCCTGCAGGGTACAACTTACTAGCCTGTTTGACCTTTTTTGGGTGCAGTCCTGTCACTGGAGTTGAACCTTGGTGTGAAAGTTGTCGCCTGCTGGCGTGGTGACCAGGTGATTTGGGCACCCAGGAGCACGTGACCGCTTGTTCAACCATGTCCGATTGGGAATAAAGGAGGAACACTGCATCCCAGCCTTTTCGGACCAAAACCAGTCGACTCAGCGTCCAAAAGAGTACAACATATGGGCCAATCGCGGTCATCCGTGCTTTTATAAGAACGAAATGGCGCTTTTAGTGACATTTTGCATACAAATCCCCATCTAGTAGGGCGCAGTGACCCAGTTTCGGTGGAAGTGCGCGAGTTCGATTGGGATTCAAGTAGGAAGTTAGCGTCTCAGCTTCCTCGGACCACGACCATTCCACTCAGCACCCCGAAGACTACAACTGGTGAAATTTTAATTTTTACCTTAACTTCCCCTTTAACGCGTTGCGGCGTTGGAGTAGATCTACGTCCTGGATGGAAGACGAGACGTTTGGTGGTGGGTTGGCATGGCAATTGTGTTCGCTTTTCTCGCTTTTGCTTCAGTTTCACCCAGGGAGTCAGTCGTAAAGGGCTTTTACGACTCCCTGGTTTCACCCATTTTCGACGAGCAACCGGTGAAAGTGGCTGATGCGGCCATTGGTGGTGGCGAGTTTCGGATGATCGTGGATGCAAGTACAGGTCATGATCCGACGAAGTCCGAAGTAGATCACTGGCTGACTGGGGGTGAGCCAAACCAAGCACCGATTGGCAGCTTGGAAAACCCATTCAACCAAATCCAGACGTGTGTGAATGTTCAACGTAAACGCCGAGGCTTTCTGCTATGGCCTTGGTCAACTGGAGGTAGGTTTGCCACTGGCTGACCTACCGATGATGATAGCAACGGCGATGGAGGACATGGATGGCAGACTGATCACATGGCTGGCAACAAAGTCATCACATCTGTGCCGTGCGCACTGGAACATACCGGGAAAGTGGTGAGTGTGCGTGACTGGCCAGAACAGTGTTCGTTACGAGTAGAGGCTTACAACAATGAACTTGCAACGACGGTGTTGGTGAAGGGAACGGCCGGTATCTCCAACCTATCCTGGCAGCATCATGATAGCCAGCTTGCCTGACGAGTTTATCATCGCTCAGTATCCAGAACCGTTCCAGCAATGAGTGATGATGGTGGAAACAAGGACAGGTGGCTAATGCCCAGCTGCAAGACTTGTTATAACCAACGACCTGGTCCAGTACGGAAAGGGGCAGCGTGTACGGTTGATTCTTGCAGTGAGTGGTGTGACTGACTAAATAAGCACGGAACGTTTACGTCTAGTTGTGTCGGGTATGTTCACGAAGACGGAAGGAGAATATGAGAAAGGTAGAGAGTTCAGGAGAAAGTTAGGAGGGTGGGCAAGGGCCTAAAGATGTGTACCTTTCTTCAAGGATTAGAACTTTCCCTACACATGTATCACCAAACATTTGAATTATTCTCCCAACATTTCTACCGTTCATGTGAAACAGTGCCAGGAGCGTTGAAAGGTTGGCACGGTCAGCCACCTGCAGTAAAATTTACTTGCGGGGGTTGGGGTGGTTCCTCTGAAAATAGAGGGAGGGGGGGGGGGGGCTGGGGCCATGTTCGTCAAGTCTTGGGGAGAAAACAACCATCCTTGATAACATCCGTGACAGTCGCTGTACAAGCTGATGATCTGAACGAAGTGAAAATTCAACCTCGTGAAAATATCACAAGGTAATGCGGCCGTAGCAGTGTTACCCTTGCAGTGTTTATAGGTTTAGGGCTGCATAGCGCCCGGCACCAAGTATGTGACTCAGTTGATCTGAGTTTATTGAGCCATACTGTACATGCCTGTATACTAGTATTCAGCAGTGTAGCTAACTATCGGTGAACACTGATAATAGACACCCTTAGCAAACAACGGTAACGCTATTTTTTACGGTACTTGTACCTTGATCACCCAAATAGCGTTGAAGCTGCAGCGTATAAACGTTATGGGGGCTGATTTATCGTTGTGACCAACGGTACGTGTTTTAGCCAAATATTGCATAGTCCGTACGCATTTCACCTTGTATCGCGTATATGGTGACAAAAATGGTTGTACCTCGCGAAATCAAAGCTATTCTCGTGGCAACAGCGTACTAAAAATAGCGTGCATCTTGCTAAAGGTCGAACCCAAATCACGGTATTTTCCCCCTTACGATAATACCGTTACAACATAACGTTTTTTGCTAAGGGTTTCTAATGATAGATTTCAACTTGTGAGGAAGCCACCACCCCCCCCCCCCCCCGTCTCTCTCTTGTTCTTTGTGAGAAAACATAACAGCATTGTATAATGCAGCATAATGCTACATTCAATTCTGATGTTTGGATGTATGCTTTGCTTTGCTTTGCTCAATGTACAAGCGCTGAAATAGGGTGATCGTGGATTTGTGGGCCATGCCCATGTGCCAAAAGCATCCAACAAGGACTATAATTGTACCTTCAAAGACTCAAAGAGGAATGTGGACAAGGAGGCGAGTCGCAAGGTAAACCCCTGTCAATTTGATTGTTATCTAATCATGGCAGCAAATTTACGCTGTGCATGTCAATTGGCTGGAAGCTGATAGCATCATAATGGACGGTTTTGCTAAATATTTTGCATCAATGGATAGTACAGCCACGCGGCAGGCCGCTTCTTGAGGAGTTGAGCCAAGCCCAACTTCTTCCTTCATATGTGACGAGCGACGCACATCACTTTCTGAACTGGTAGGTGCTCGTGACTCGAGAGTTCTGGGCTGCGGTTTGGGACTGTGTGTGTAATGCAGGAATTTTGCTGCAATGTTCCGTGCATTGTGCATCAGTTTTCGCAACAGACCCGTCACACGATGGGAAGCAGAATATCACTCGGTGCCCATAGCATTGCAGAAGCGGTATTATGCATATCACTTTAGCAGCTAGTGTTTACCGATACTCATTGTGTTTCTGACATGTCCATTCTCGACTCTTTTCAGTGTCTAATAAGCACAACTGTGCGTGCTGTCTGTATGAGTGCGTGTGTTGGCGGGCACGTGCGCGCGCATGTGTGTGTGTGTTTGTGTGTGGATGTATGTGCGTGGTTGTGCGTGTTTGTGTGTGTCTCTCTCTAGGGAAAGGAAGAGCCTGATCGGTTTGAGAAGCAGTAGCTGAAGCATTAACAAGGCTAGCAATTGAGCAAGACCAGGCTTGCTGCCGCCGTCAGTCTCGTTGGCACAAAGATGTCACAGTAATCAAAACAATACTCAGAGCGGCCCGTCCGCATCTTCTGTACAGCAAAGTAGCAGATAGATTGCCATCAAGAACACTGGTCACATTATATTGTACAAGGGTCCTTGCAAGTGGATATATTATAAATAGGTATGTTGTATTAGTACTTCCTTGCTTGCTTGCTTGATGTTGTTCGGTTTTCACCCGTTATGCTCCCAGTTTACGAGTATGTTTGTTTTTCGTGTCCTGTACTTGATCATTGCATATCTGTATGTAGGTGTGCTGTGTGTGTGTGTGTGTGTGTGTGCGTGTGTGTGTGTGTGTGTGTGTGCGTGTGCGCGCGTGTTTATGTGTTTATACATACTGTACGTGGAAGCGCGGATGTCACACTGATTATAGTGTGGCAGTCTCGGGTCTGTATGCTCTACATGAGTAAATACCGTGACCTGCCGCTACGCTGGTTTTTACTGTTTTCATCACTTTTCCCCATTCTCGCAGCAGAGCGAGCTGAATGCAGGCTTTCACTCATCCATCCGTCCTAAACTTACCGTCATTTTCTCCTATTTTTCAAGTATCCTGTGAATCAGTATGTTTGTGAGCAGCAGATGAAACTACCGTGTTGAACAGCGTTCACACACAAACTCTTACAACAAGTTAGTAAGCACAGTGTTGTTGTGCTTGATGCTTGATACAGTCGTTATGCATTGCAGCTGAATGGTCTTTGTTGTCAGCTTGTCCTATCCTTGCTGTGAATGGTCTTGGTTCTCAGCTGTTTTTTATTTTTTATTTTTTTATTTTTTATTTTTACAAAAAACCACACCATTGGACGGCACAAAGCAGCAAGGCAGCGATGAGACATATGGAATGGCAGGAGTGGGGGAGAGGCAGGGGCAGCTTGACCGACCATAGGGTCTCGACTTCATTGCAACCCAAGCGCTCCACAAAAACAAAAAAATACAGAAAATATGCAGGGGGGGGGGGGGGGTAGATAACTGGGGATTACGGGGAAAAGTATGCACGATAAAAAGTTATCAGAGTCAACAAAGTGAATGGAGGAGGGAACGGAGTTAGAGCTTTTTTTCGCTGTGAATGGTCTTTGTTCTCAGTTTATCCTAGTCTTGCTGTGAATGGTCTTGGTTCTCAGCTTGTCCTAGTCTTGCTGCTCTAGTTTTTCTTGTACCATTGCGCAGCCACAGTTGCCATGGTTACCTGCTGTGCACCGACGCGACCTGAACCGACCCGTGTTTACCTGACCTCAGTGACCTGTGCCAAGGGTTTATTCGGCCAGGTGAAGTGGATGTACAATGCTAGCTACTGCTCGATGAAATAATAATTCGGTTGCGTGATTCAAGTCAATGCCCTGCACCTGTGCGCAGCACAGTGTTCACACAGGTCTGGTCTGGCGCTGCATAGCACCCTGTACTGGCATGTACAGTACTACTACTAGGACACGTACTGCTCACTGAAGTACAGGGAGTCACTTTTAAAAGTCTTTGCGCCGTTCACCAGTGAACATCCCAGTGTTCGCAGGTCTAGGGCTGCATAATGCCTGGGAGGCTGGGACGTACGTGACTTGCATGATTGGATTTCTTTGAGCAGCTAAGCACTGTACTTGATTCACGTGATTGAATTCCATACATGTATATTTAATATAATTAGGGCTCAAACGGTTAGTCCGATTAACCGGTTGCAGACCGGTTACGAAGAATTAACGGTTAACCGATAAAGATAACGGTTAATACGCAGTAACTTTTCAGTCAATTTTTCAAGTATCAGGTCGTTGCAAAGTATGCAGGCTGTCGCACGCGTACGCAATTTCTGGGCTGTCAACTCGGTCATATCTGGTCTCTTCGTGTGAGAGTATGTATGAATGAGCATGCAAGAGAATATACATGTGTGCGTTGTACTGAATAGGGTACATTTTTGAAGAAGTATAGTCAAATATACGGTTAAAAAAGAGTCCGCAGGATTGCCGTGGCTTATAGGTTATAACCGTTAAGCCGACCGTTAGCTTAGCAGTTAACCGTTGGGGGTAAAACCGTGACCGTTTGAGCCCTAATGTTGGCCTATTGTCGGTAGGGTGACCAGACAGACTGTCTGCTAATGACTTGGATGGTGACAGAAAGTATCAGACTGGGTAGGTTTGCATGCAATAGGCTGGCTACAGACGACTGCCCTTTCAAAATTATTTTATATGTTACAAACAGGGAGTCCAAAATTACCGGTATTTTACGACTCCCTGGTTAAAAGCCAAAATGAATGAGCACACATCAACACTGTATGAGTGAATCGGGAATATTTTGTATGCCTAGGAGGCGCAAAACTTGAATCATTTTAAATAGGAGAGTCTTCGGGTAGTAGGGTACGGGTGTTACACGTAATAAGAGCGGATAGTAGGGTAGCAGTTTGCTCCTGAATATTTTGCATGTGAGTAAGTTTTAGGTGGAATGTACGGAATTTTTTGCATACAACATTTTTGGCAAATGGAACCTTTTCACTCACCGATGCGTAGAGCTCAATTCTGAGCAATATGCGAGCTGTTTATACTGTAGTGTCGCGGCGTATAAAAGCATGACTCGAACAGAAGCCGATTTTACGAAGCGTTCCATGACACAGAAGCATGATTTGAATAAAAGCATGCATGTATCATGTACTTGCACACTACACACAGGTGCGTGACAATGTGCACTGCACAGTGTAAACTGAAGATGTTGACGTAGAAGCATGTTTCGAATGTAAGCATAACTTGAATAGAAGCATGGCTTGAACCCCGGCTTATACGGCCGTACGCACCTGCTATTATACGCGACATTACAGTATTCATTATATTCCTGATTTCCAGTATGGGTAACAAATAGCCAACAAAAGTCAAAATGGTTGGCTGGGGCTCCGATACGAGTGTGACAGCGTTACAAATATTGCCGTGAGCTGGGGACAACAGCATCTGCGCAAGAGCCAGAGAACGAGGGACACTGCAAGCCAGAGAAAAATATAATTTTACGCATGTGCACAATGTAGATGCACGCATGCTGCTAGAGTGTAGGCACATGCCTTGGATTCAGCTTGGGGAGCTGCACAGTGTTAGCAAGCATTGATCATATCAATATCTGGTAGTTATGCATGAACACATGTGTAGGCAGGTACTGGTACATACATACATGACTGTGTGAAAAGTCAAGTCTCAACTTTCTTCAATATGAACCAATAACGGTGATGATCACAAAAGTGGAATGGATGGGTGGATGGATGAGTGTGTGGGTTGAGAAAGAAATCCACTGCCAGTGCAGACGCAACAAGAACGGATACCAAGGACAGTGGACTTCGAATACTTGCAGTGAGTGCGTAGGAGACTCTGTTTGGCAATGAAGCATACACCGTATGATCTAACCTTCAGTAAAACTGATACCACAGTAGACTGGACTAGACAGTACATGTAGTTCAGTTAATCATTATATCTACATAGTAACACAACAGTGTGTGTCATAGACAATCTGTATACATCATGTCTATACAAGTGATGTCACAGTGTTGTGATCAATGACAGGTAGTGTGCTGTTGGAGTATCTCTTACTGCAGTAGCTGCTTGAAATGATCCTTGTCCAGTGCTGGTCACTTTCACCAATCTCAACTGCTAAACACTATCCAGTAGAGACCTTCAGAAGCTCAGCTAGCCCTGTAGAGTGTACAACGGGGGAATCGCATGTACACACACAAACACACACACACACATGCATGTGGACACATACACAGGACACAAGCACATGTCGGCACACATACACAAAAACACATGCATGCATGCAGATGCGCACACAGCGGACATGTACACAAGTCCACACATAAAACACACACACTCTGAAATCTGTCAACTCCTTTAAGAGACGCCGCAAGTTAAATGGCCCGAAATGGCTATGTCAGTCTCTCCGGGAAAGGAAAGAAAGATACCCAAAAGGAGTCCTACAAAAGTGACTCCATTGGTTATTGCCCCACCCAACAGCCACCACACCTTGCAATCCCCAAACTCTGGCTGGACTAGATATGATGTCACTCACAACATCGCGGCAAGCGGGCCGGTGAGACCAAGGTGAAGAAAGAGGTTGGCATGAGGGGATCCGCGGCGTCCCGAGTTCCACTTGCATGTACCCCTCATGGCTGTTCCAGTGCAGCCACTTAACAATATGGCGTCGTTCGGTGCGATTTATGTAACATTGTGTGAATAGTGCAAATACGCGATGAGTTTGCGTTTTTGGAAGAAACTCATGTCACGCCTCGCGTGGTTCACCGATTTGGGAAGCGAAACCAAGAGAAAAGTTTTGAAAGCGCTCGAGCGAGATACTCGCAATTGAGAGAGAAAGAGGGTGGAAAGGCATCCTGGCCTGCCCAGTAAGCTATCTTTCCTCTTCATACTTGCTCAAACTACTCCTGACAGTCTGGAGATTGACCTTGCCAGTGATTGGCAGCCTCTGCTTGGCGTGCGCGCGGGTACAACATTCAAGTTAGACAGTTCGTACTCGTTCAACGCACAATAGGATAGATATCACAATTCCCAGCTCACTTGGCCAGCTACTGTCTTCTTCTACAATACACCACATGCCAACTAAGCACTTTCCAGCAGGAAACAGCCTTCTAGACTCAACAGCAAATAAAGGGCCACGCCATTTGTCTTCCAAATCAAGAGAAAACGGGCTCCAGACTCGTCCCGAGTTTCTAGAAGTTCATGCACGGTTCGTAATGACACTTGAGGAAGACAACCAGAGGATAGTCTTCTACCTGGGAAAAAATTGGGAAGGGCTTCTTGGAGCCGAGTTTGTCAGCGGCGACATAAGGAGTGCTCCAGAACGAAGCCAAAGGTGCACGACGCAGAACAAACGTTTCTTGAAAAAAAAGCAGGCATGTGAGGTACGAGCGGCAAGCTTGAAACAAGACAGTTATGATCCGCATGTTCCCCGGGCTATCCGGGCTAACTAGTCTGCAAAATCCAGGGGAAACCATGGCCTACTCGTGTTGTGACGATTTGAAAATTCGAATTTTCTAGCCATTAAAACCCAATGGAGACTTTCGGCAGCCATATTGTTAAGTGGGCGGAAATCGCACAAAAAAACAGCCGTGCCCTGCCCCAGTGAAGTTAATGCTTGATACTAGTGTGGGCTGCACATTGCAAACTCAGATAATAGAGAGTATATGGTGCTGGAACAGGAACGTTCTTCTGTGAGTGCACCCACCAACCAAACTCAATGGTACAAGCACAAAATCACCCACTCTTGAAGATGCACATTATATGTACACGCGCACACGCACACACACACACACACACACACACACACACACGTACTCACACGCACGCACACATACACATGCACACACACAGAAACTTGCACACAGACACCATGCACACACACACACACACGCAGGCAACTGTCCCATGGAGCCATTGCCACAGGGTCACATGGAACTATGATCCCATAATTGGCAATGCAGACATAGACGATTCAAACAAACCATGTCATGACGCAGTCAAAACCAAAGATCTGGTGCAAGTAGCACCGTGCAAGCCTTCCCCTTCCACAGACACAGCTGTGGTTCTCTTGTACCGCATTTAAAGTACATGTACTGACATGAAGTAAGTACAGCACACAGTACACAGCACACAGTACACAGTACACAGTACACAGTACACAGTACACAGCACACAGTACACAGTACACAGCACACAGTACACAGCACACAGCACACAGCACACAGTACACAGTACACAGTACACAGTACACAGTACACAGCACACAGCACACAGTACACAGCACACAGTACACAG